AAAGTTGCGCGGAGCTCTCAATCACATCGGGCCCAAGCCGTGCCAAACCAGAGCCCGATCGAAACGCGTTGCGATGGTTTCCCAGGAGGAGCGCGCCGCAGTCCGCGCCAATTATGAGACGGGGGCGTTTGGGCCCGCGGGGGCGCTGGGCGGGGGGGCCATCGTTGTTTTGTTTTTGCCCTCGGTCAAATGGGGGGGGGGTATTTTATCGATGGGCAGAGATGGGGGCCTCCCCATAGGAGAGAAAGGCGGGCAGGATGAGAAAAGGAAGAGCTCAGTAGACCATCTACGCTTCTAGGAATGTTTCGACTACAACAGCATTCGCTTATTATCAATGGGAAGCGCACGGGGGAAAACATGTCCAGACCCTTTTTCCTGTTTTTGTCAAAATGAGCTTTCGCGCGCTACGCCGAATGGATGGTCCCTTTTTGCGCATGGGCACGCTGGTTCTCATGCGCGGGGGCGCATGCATTGCTGCGTCTAAACCCCCATTCCTTTGTGCTCGTGTGCTTCTCTTCGCGCGCGTGCGAGACCGCTTGGCGAGTGTCCAGATGTCTTGCGGCAAGTGCCACCGGCGGGCCAGCGCAGCCATTTGGGCGCCGGCTGGTCCAATAGGTATGACGACGACATCGAAAACGACAACTCCGACGATGGTGATGATCCGGGGAATGAGAATTCTTTACGCTTCGCGTATCCCCACCAGCCCATCTCTCAACAGCAACTCTTGCGAAGCATGCCGGCAGTCGTGTTGTTCAGGCGTGTTTCCGCCTGCCCCTGCATATCTCCCCTGTTACTCCTTCCTCCCGCCTCCTTGTACATCCTCCTTGTGGGGGGAGCGGGAGAAGGACGAGGCGGAGGAGGAGGGAGAGAAAGCGCGCCTCGTGGTTTGAGTCGTTTGGGGTTTCTCGTCCTGGTGTGAGTCGTTCGGGCCCTTCTTCCTGGTGTGAGTCGTTCGGGCTCTTCGTGGTGTGAGTCGTTCGGGCTCTTCGTCCTGGTGTGAGTCGTTCGGGCTTCTCGTGGTGTGGTTGTCGTCCTGGTGTGAGTCGTTCGGGCCCCTCCTCCTGGTGTGACTCGTTCGGGCTCCTCGTGGTGTGAGTCGTTCGGGGCCCTCGTCGTGGTGTGAGTCGTTCGGGCTCCTCGTGGTGGCTTGTATAAGCGCTGCCCCTCCTCCTGGTGTGACTCGTTCGGGCTCCTCGTGGTGTGAGTCGTTCGAGGCCCGCGTCGTGGTGTGAGTCGTTCGGGCTCCTCGTGGTGTGAGTCGTTCGGGCGCCTCGTCCTGGTGTAAGTCGTTCGGGAACCTCCTTGTGGTGTGAGTCGTTCGGGCTCTTCGTGGTGTGAGTCGTTCGGGCCCCTCGCCCTGGTGTGAGTCGTTCGGGCTCCTCGTGGGGCCTCTTGGGGGCCTCTTGGAGCCTCTTGGGGCCTCTTGGGGGCCTCTTGGGGGCCTCTTGGGCGCCTCTTGGGCGCCTCTTGGGGCCTCTTGGGGCCTCTTGGGGGCCTCTTGGCGTTCTCTTGGGGGCCTCTTGGGGGCCTCTTGGGGGCCTCAGGGGGGCCTCTTGGAGGCCTCTTGGGAGCCTCCTGGGGGCCTCTTGGGGCCATCTTGGGGCCTCTTGCGACCTCCTCAGAAGCGCAAGTGAGCGCTGCCCCCTGAGAAGGACAAAATGAGCCCAAAACTTTCGTAAAATCAATGATTTTGCTATGAAGGAAGATGAGCGCGGCCCCCTCAGGACGCCAAAATGGGGCCAAAACCCTAGTAAAATCAATGATTGTTGCTTCAAAGACGAGCAGAGGGGCCAAACTCGGCCCCCCCCTCGGGGCCAGAATCCTCGTGAGGGTCGTCGTTTTTTGGCCCTCCCAGGAGTCGAAAAAGACCCCCCTGAGAACACTCGGGGTTCCCTGTCCAGGCCCAGGGGGAGGGGGTAGGGGGAGGGGTAAACCCCTCCCCGAAGGGGAAGAAGGGGGGTTGAGGACAGAGAGAGCTCTCTAAACCACTCACGCCCAAAGGGCTGGCGGGATTAGTTTGTTCACGATGGGGATGCCCCTGGTGTTGGTCATGGGCAAGGGGTGGATTGGAGAAGCGCCGTCACATGTGGCGCCTGTCGACCTCACCTCGGGGAGCGCATTCGGGCCGTCCCGGGGTTGTCTGGGGCTCCCGTGGAGCAGTCTTGACATTCGAGTGGGACGTCTGGAGGCCCCCTTCGCCGCCTGCTCGGTCTCTTCGGGCAGTCGCGGGGCCGTATTGAAGCCGTTTTGGGCCATAGACAGGCCTTGTCAGGTCATGTATATTTGAAGCTTTTTGGGGTCACTTAAAGCCGACGGATGCCCGAAAAGGCGAGAATGCCACAACCCTTCTGAATCTCACAGTGAATCAATATTGCGAAGGCCTTGCGGCCGATGCCGCCGACCCTGGAGACGACCCTGTCGTCTGGGCGCGCCAGCCCTCGCGGATCGGACGGTGGCTGCGAGGCGCTGTCGGACGTCGGAGGCGTTGAAAGCGCGCTTGCCGCGCTCGGGAAAGTGTCCCTCCTCCGTTCTGTGATGGGGAGGAGGAGGAGGAACAGGCGGAGGAGGAGGACAAGGTCGAAGAGGAGGGAATGAATACCTTGTTGTTTTGTAACTTCCTAGTTTGTGTTGTAGCTTCCTAGGAGAGTTTTTGGGGCCTCTCGGGACCCTCTTGGGGCCTCTGTGGGCTTCCTGGAGGGCCTCTTGGGAGCTTCTCGGGGCTGAGGGCTCGAAATGTCCGTTCGGGTCCCCCGTCTGGGCGCTCTCTTGGAACCGTTTTGGGGGCCTTCTGTAAATCTGGGAAGCGTCTTGGGCCGTCTTGGGGCACTTTTGGGCCGTTTGGAAACCCTCTCGGAGGCCTCTTGGGCCGTGTCGGGGCGATCTTAGGAGCCTCTTGGGCCGTCTTGGCGCGTGGGGAAGCGGAAGAGGCGAAAACGCCAAAAATCTTTCAAAAAACGCATGGGAGATCCATGATTTGTACCTCTTGGGGCTCTCGTGGGAACGGTCCTGGAGGCCTCTTGGGGCGTCTCGCGGGCCTCTTGGGCCGTCTGGAGGCCGTCGAGGCGTCTTGGACAGATCATTCGGCGATTCGGCGCCCTCTTATTGGATCGTCTTGGTGGCCTCTCTGGGCAGTCTTGGCCCGTCTTGGGACTTTTTTGAGCTCCGGGATTCCCCGGGGGGGCGGCGTAAAAACCCGGGACCCCCCCCGGGACCCACCCCGGGGGGCGACGCAAAAACCCGGGACCCCCCCCCCCAGCGGGGAAGGGATCAAAGGGAAGGGGCTTCCTTTCGACTCAATTACGACGTTGCTCAATTTCGCCGAGGAGGGAACAGACGGAGAAGCATCTTCCACACGCCGACAGGGTCGGCGGATTTGGGGCGTCTTCGGGCCCTACGGCAAAGATGAGGCCGGGCATGGTGCTTGCCAAGCTTTCAATCCACCGGTTGCGTGGGCTTGTTGCGCTGGCGTACTTCAACTCAAACCGCCTCCACTTAAACATCGGTGCTTCTTTCTTCCATGCACCAAGCGCGAAACAGCCGATTATTGATTGGATTTGCCGCGCAGTGCGAAGTGCGTTTCTTGAATGAGCTTGCGCACTCAACTTGCCACCGGTCGATCGTTAAGTGGGATCGCTGGGCAACGGGAAGCGCGCCCCGCGCGTGAATTTGCACCCTGAACCAGCCCCCGCCCGATCATCAACATGGTTCGCTGGACAGCGTTCGCAGCCTGCCGGGCGCGCCGCATCTCGAGCCCCGTATGGCGTCGAGGAAATGCAACGTCTGCCAAGGAAATGCGACGTTTGCCGCGCCCTGCGGGCGGCAAGCGGAAGAATACCAATGGCATGGTTCCACAGCCCGCAAAGTAGTGTTTCCCAGGCTTAGCAAGATCCGGACGATTGATTTGACTGTGTTCAAGCCGTCATCGACGGCACGCTCATTAAGATACGAGAACATCGCGTGAAAACCTTGCGCGCGAGCCAAGTGACAACGACACACGACACAAATGACGCGGGGATGGGGACCGAAACGCTGTTGAAACAATGCTGGCGGGGCCCGTCGCATTGAATGGCGCCCGCCTGCCAATGTTACGGAGCATTATCGCGTACTCGATGCGCGGTGCATGGCCGGCATTTCGCTGCGGGTCCGACGCCGTCAGGTATATCGGGACCACCCACGCCTGCGACCCAGCGACGGGTCTACTTGGAACCACACCCAGGCGTTCACTTGCACCAGCTTCTCAATGTTGCGACCTGGCGCGCAAGTCAATGGAATAGACATTGGAAGCATGTCCCTGGTGCACAGTTGCACACGCTGCCAACATTGAGAGGCAGGTATCACTTGATGCCCCTTTTGTTGATTTGTGTGGACGCCGCCGCTTGCGTATCATTCAATATGATCATTTTGTCAATGAACCGAAAAAGTTTCTCTTGGCCGGGTACCACCGTATCCCATCGATTCAGGAGAATCGATGGTTGGTGGGGGTCGGGTTCGGATGTCGCCACCTCACACCAGGCAGCGCCAGGGGGGGTTATGTGGGAGGGGGGTCCTGGCGCTGACACCCAGGAAGTCCGCGCGAACTTCTGAAAGTTTGTGTTGTGGCTGCCGTGAGATCCGACGTCTCGAAACATTGCAACGTTTTGAGCAACATCGACCAGAACCCTGGACCCTGGACCCCATCCTTCTGCGGCATTTCTTAAGCCAGATCCGTCTGTAATGGTTCCGGGGCATGGAAACAGACGAAGCGCCGATTGAGAATTGCGCCATGAGGATCCCAAGGCTTTGCCTTTTGTCAGGAGGGGTGAATCCATCCGCCGATGTGATTTTTTCAATCTGCGGTCCCAGAAGTCCCGAACGCTTCCCCAGGGCTAGTTTTGTGGTTTGTCCCGGATCCGTTGTTGATGATCTCAGGATCCGAAACGGCCCACGCAGGCCGAAATCGAGGAAAAACGCTTGGATTGAACAAATCAAATCGACAGAGATTTGTTCCTATCCTTTGTCAG